ATAAAGCACTGCGTGCATATATAAATTCTCGGAAAAACTTAATGCCCAGTGGATGAGAAAAAAAAGTAAAATTAAAATAGAAGGAAAAGTATATTTTGAGGAAGTCAACTTTTCTTCCCGTCTCTCTCCAATCAAATACAAAAAACAATCGCCATCTCTCAGTCATTCCCTTCTCCAGTATACTAAGTTCGTAAAGTGAAACCACAAACGAATATAGTATTAAACTAATGAAACCAAAATATATAAGTGCCACGTAAAAAAGGAAACCATTGGGGGTTAGACCTTCAACTGCGTTCACAAAAATTAAAAATTAAAACAAGAAATGTACAGCTCTGAGTAGTTAAGAACATTGATATCACGAATGTCGACGGTAAAAAAAAAGATATATGCATATACAACTCTAGGGTTAAAACTAAAAGTTCGTCTAAAGTAATGAAACTACATAAAATTAAATTAATGAAACCAAAATCTATAATTACTGCATAGAAAAGGTGAAATCAGAATTTACACCAAGCGCATTTTAGCTGCTGTCTCTTGAGTAAGGAGCTGTTTCTTCCGCAAGCTTCTCCCACACAGCTGCCATCTTCTCCGCATAGCCTGCCTGTAAAATGGATGACGTGGATTAGCAACTTTTCTGAACCACAAAAAGATGAGCGCCGCCTAAACGTAACAGCTAACAGAACTTAGAACATCAATGAACCTTACTTGATTGACAACAAACCCTCGCAGCATGCTCTGAAAGTCGCTATTTCTCTCTTGGTCAATTCTTTCAAGTTCGCTCCTATTGTTCTCCTGCAAACATTCGACACTCATAAGACAATATTCCATGATAGAGACATCCCAACGATATTTCATAAACACTTTAATTGATGTTTTGTTTTTCTTAAGAAAAATACAATTTTGAACTAAATATGAAGAACACGTAAGGAAATCACATCTTAATCTGGAGACCAAAGGAAACTCGGATATAATGGAAAAAATTGCTAAGAGATGAAACACTAAAACCTATTTTTACAAAAGATGAAAAGACCACCCCAGATATATGGAACTCAACAAAAATGAAAATTGGAAGGTGAAATTTTCCTCCCCTTGGATTCCATAGTCCTCTCATTTGATGTGATTCAAATTTTCCCTTTGTTCCATTGAAGCAACCCAAATATTTTTGGAGATTGCAGAAAAAAAAGAAGAATATTACAAAAAGTACCATAAGAGAGAATAACACATGAACTACAGTATTTTAGTTCAGGTGAATCACGCTATTTGGAATCTACCGTTCTATAGAGCCAAAATTAATCAGCTGAATCTTCATTTTTCATGGGATGCTTCTGCTAATAGTTTCTCCAAAACAAAATATCAGATGATGCTAAACATTATAACAAATTGTACTATTAAATCAAATTTTCATATATACAAACTTTACTCATAAATCAATACAATTGTACTCCCAATGAAACCCAATTTATAGATTCACTTTTGATTAATTAACTGGGCCGGTTAAATTTGAAAAGCCAGTGATTTGTTTATCTAGTTTTCAGTTTGTTTAACCAATAAAGCAGAAGCAAGAGGAAGAGGAACAAAGAACTAGAGGGAAAAAACAGATGAGCAGGTCAAACTTGCAAACCACGGTATTAGTTTGAACTGGCTTTCAATTTTAGATGTTGAGTTCTTATGAGAGGAAACGTTGAGGAGTCAGTACCAATAAGTTGTGAGCACTACATATAAGAAAGACCAAGAAACCACCTATAACTCAAAACCTTAAAACAATAAACTTGTGAGTCTACTTTCTAATATGCTACTTATATTGCTCATTCCTAATCAATGGTGACCATTTGTTTACAACGAGATATGTGTTTCCAAAACCCTTATCAGAAAGACTTTCAATACAAGGAAATCTTCAAATACATGACTCTTCAACCACCCAACCACTCAACCACTCAGGTGTTCGTTCCACATTATTGAAACATTTGATGGGTTCTTGCAAGGAGAACCACCAAAGAGATTTGACACTAATGTTCCATGCTATATGACTGGATTTTTCACTCTATTTCTAGTTGAGGCTTTGAAGCTCTAGGCAAAATATTGATTAACTTTGAAGCAATGAGCAACATATTGATAACTTTGAAGCCATAGTATAGAATATAAGTTTGAATAGTCTACTTCCAATTTTGGATCTCGATGCACTAAACAATATAACAATGGTTATCCTTTCTTTGCTTCACTACTTCAATGATCAAAGTAAGATCTAAAAATAAACCATTAGATTTCCATACTAAAATGGCAATAGATCNGAAGCTGGAATGACAGTGGCTATGGAGCTTGTTCTGGAGGTTGGGTTGGTATCAAGTGTGCCCAGGGACAGGTTATTGTGATCCAGCTTCCATGGAAGGGGTTGAAGGGGCGTATCACCGAGAGGATTGGCCAACTTCAGGGGCTAAGAAAGCTTAGTCTCCACGATAACCAAATTGGTGGTTCGATCCCTTCATCACTGGGAGTTCTTCTCAATCTGAGAGGGGTTCAACTCTTCAACAATAGGTTCACAGGCTCCCTCCCTCCTTCGTTAGGTTCATGTCCTTTGCTTCAGTCTTTAGACCTCAGTAACAATCTGCTCAGCGGGACAATCCCGATCAGCCTTGGGAATGCCACTAAGCTTTATTGGCTTAACTTGAGCTTTAATTCCTTCTCTGGCCCAATACCAACAACCTTAACTCGCTTAACTTCTCTCACTTACATATCTCTTCAACACAACAATCTCTCGGGTTCTATTCCTAACTCGTGGGGTGGTAGCTTCAGGAACCATGTCTTTCGCCTCCAAAATCTGATCCTAGATTATAACTTCTTTAGTGGCACCATTCCTGCTTCTTTGGGCAACTTGAGTGAACTCACAGAGATTTCTCTCAGTCATAACCAGCTTAGAGGACCTATCCCAAATGAAATTGGAAGCCTTTATAGACTTAAGACGGTAGATTTTTCTAGTAATTCATTGAACGGAAGCTTGCCCGCCACTCTCTCTAATGTGTCCTCTCTCACTCTCTTGAATGTAGAGAACAACCACCTAGGTAATCAAATCCCAGAAGCCTTGGGCAGATTGCACAATCTATCTGTTCTGGTTCTGAGCAGAAACCAATTCAGTGGCCATATTCCTCAGAGTATTGGAAACATGTCAAAGCTTACACAGCTTGATTTGTCAATGAATAATCTCAGTGGAGAAATTCCAGCATCCTTTGAAGATCTGAGTGGTCTTAATTTCTTCAACGTTTCTCATAACAACCTCTCTGGTCCGGTTCCAGCCCTACTTGGGCATAAATTTAATTCAAGCTCATTTGTGGGAAATATTCAGCTATGTGGATATAGCCCTTCAACCCCATGTCCCTCGCCAGCTCCTTTTGGTTCACCTAAAGAAAAATCAGAAAACCATCGACACAAAAAACTAGGCACCAAAGACATAATTCTCATAGTAGCAGGAGTGCTCCTTGTTGTCCTGGTAACACTTTGCTGCATTCTGCTATTCTGCCTGATCAGAAAAAGAACAGCATCGAATGCAGAGGGTGGCCAGGCCACAGGGAGAGCATCTGCATCTGCTGCCACGACAGAAAAAAGAGTCCCTCCTGTCGCAGGTGAAGCTGAAGCTGGTGGTGGTGAGGCCGGAGGTAAACTAGTCCACTTTGATGGACCATTGGCTTTTACAGCTGATGATCTCTTGTGTGCAACAGCAGAGATAATGGGAAAGAGTACGTATGGAACTGTTTACAAGGCTACATTAGAGGATGGAAGTCAAGCTGCAGTTAAACGATTGAGGGAAAAGATTACGAAAGGTCAAAAAGAATTCGAATCTGAAGTTAGTATTATAGGAAGAATTCGACACCCAAATCTTCTGGCATTGAGAGCCTATTACTTGGGACCCAAAGGAGAAAAGCTTCTAGTATTTGATTACATGCCTAAGGGAAGTCTTGCTTCTTTCCTACACGGTAAGATTGCAGTGATAATTTTTTCTTGTCATGGTACAGTTAAAAGTCGGTCTAATTTCTTGTCAACACACTATTGTATTGACAGTTTTCCATCTTTGTGCAGCTCGTGGGCCCGAAACAGCCATTGATTGGCCAACAAGGATGAAAATAGCGCAGGGAATGGCTCGTGGCTTGCTATACCTTCATTCCAATGAAAATATTATTCACGGAAACCTTACGTCCAGCAATGTGCTGCTGGATGAGTATACGAATGCTAAAATAGCTGATTTTGGCCTTTCTCGGTTGATGACAACTGCTGCTAATTCTAACGTGATTGCCACTGCTGGGGCATTGGGATACCGAGCACCTGAGCTCTCGAAGCTTAAGAAAGCCAACACAAAAACTGACGTATACAGTCTTGGTGTCATCTTGTTAGAACTCCTAACGGGGAAGCCACCTGGTGAGGCTTTGAATGGCGTGGATTTACCTCAGTGGGTTGCCTCCATTGTCAAAGAGGAGTGGACAAATGAAGTTTTCGATGTAGAGTTGATGAGAGATGCTTCAACATATGGCGACGAAATGCTGAACACGTTGAAGCTTGCTTTGCACTGTGTTGATCCTTCTCCATCAGCACGACCAGAAGTCCAGCAAGTCCTTCAGCAGCTTGAAGAGATTAGACCGGAGATATCAGCCAGTTCGGGTGACGATGGAGCCATCCCTTCCACCAGTGAATGAGTATTAGGACTAACGTAGTAGAGTAGCTAGTTTATTATTCTTTCATTCTTAACATCAATTTCTTTTTGCCTGCTAGGAATTCTAGTGTCTGTATATATAGTAGTGTGCTTAAATCTGTAAGTGTTCTCTTTAACACTTATTGGTTCATTTTAATATAAACTATATCTGGTTTGCGTTAAATTCTTCTATTTCGTCACATATGTAGATAATTGCAGCGGTGAAAATCAAAAGCACAAATTTCCTGTGAAAATTTGAGTTTTAATTTAACAGTTAATAACACCACCAATCAGTGGATTCTAACCCAACGCATTTAAGGTTAGATAGTCAGTTAATACATTCACCACAACAAAAATTAAACATTAAAATAAAGCACTGCGTGCATATATAAATTCTCGGAAAAACTTAATGCCCAGTGGATGAGAAAAAAAAGTAAAATTAAAATAGAAGGAAAAGTATATTTTGAGGAAGTCAACTTTTCTTCCCGTCTCTCTCCAATCAAATACAAAAAACAATCGCCATCTCTCAGTCATTCCCTTCTCCAGTATACTAAGTTCGTAAAGTGAAACCACAAACGAATATAGTATTAAACTAATGAAACCAAAATATATAAGTGCCACGTAAAAAAGGAAACCATTGGGGGTTAGACCTTCAACTGCGTTCACAAAAATTAAAAATTAAAACAAGAAATGTACAGCTCTGAGTAGTTAAGAACATTGATATCACGAATGTCGACGGTAAAAAAAAAGATATATGCATATACAACTCTAGGGTTAAAACTAAAAGTTCGTCTAAAGTAATGAAACTACATAAAATTAAATTAATGAAACCAAAATCTATAATTACTGCATAGAAAAGGTGAAATCAGAATTTACACCAAGCGCATTTTAGCTGCTGTCTCTTGAGTAAGGAGCTGTTTCTTCCGCAAGCTTCTCCCACACAGCTGCCATCTTCTCCGCATAGCCTGCCTGTAAAATGGATGACGTGGATTAGCAACTTTTCTGAACCACAAAAAGATGAGCGCCGCCTAAACGTAACAGCTAACAGAACTTAGAACATCAATGAACCTTACTTGATTGACAACAAACCCTCGCAGCATGCTCTGAAAGTCGCTATTTCTCTCTTGGTCAATTCTTTCAAGTTCGCTCCTATTGTTCTCCTGCAAACATTCGACACTCATAAGACAATATTCCATGATAGAGACATCCCAACGATATTTCATAAACACTTTAATTGATGTTTTGTTTTTCTTAAGAAAAATACAATTTTGAACTAAATATGAAGAACACGTAAGGAAATCACATCTTAATCTGGAGACCAAAGGAAACTCGGATATAATGGAAAAAATTGCTAAGAGATGAAACACTAAAACCTATTTTTACAAAAGATGAAAAGACCACCCCAGATATATGGAACTCAACAAAAATGAAAATTGGAAGGTGAAATTTTCCTCCCCTTGGATTCCATAGTCCTCTCATTTGATGTGATTCAAATTTTCCCTTTGTTCCATTGAAGCAACCCAAATATTTTTGGAGATTGCAGAAAAAAAAGAAGAATATTACAAAAAGTACCATAAGAGAGAATAACACATGAACTACAGTATTTTAGTTCAGGTGAATCACGCTATTTGGAATCTACCGTTCTATAGAGCCAAAATTAATCAGCTGAATCTTCATTTTTCATGGGATGCTTCTGCTAATAGTTTCTCCAAAACAAAATATCAGATGATGCTAAACATTATAACAAATTGTACTATTAAATCAAATTTTCATATATACAAACTTTACTCATAAATCAATACAATTGTACTCCCAATGAAACCCAATTTATAGATTCACTTTTGATTAATTAACTGGGCCGGTTAAATTTGAAAAGCCAGTGATTTGTTTATCTAGTTTTCAGTTTGTTTAACCAATAAAGCAGAAGCAAGAGGAAGAGGAACAAAGAACTAGAGGGAAAAAACAGATGAGCAGGTCAAACTTGCAAACCACGGTATTAGTTTGAACTGGCTTTCAATTTTAGATGTTGAGTTCTTATGAGAGGAAACGTTGAGGAGTCAGTACCAATAAGTTGTGAGCACTACATATAAGAAAGACCAAGAAACCACCTATAACTCAAAACCTTAAAACAATAAACTTGTGAGTCTACTTTCTAATATGCTACTTATATTGCTCATTCCTAATCAATGGTGACCATTTGTTTACAACGAGATATGTGTTTCCAAAACCCTTATCAGAAAGACTTTCAATACAAGGAAATCTTCAAATACATGACTCTTCAACCACCCAACCACTCAACCACTCAGGTGTTCGTTCCACATTATTGAAACATTTGATGGGTTCTTGCAAGGAGAACCACCAAAGAGATTTGACACTAATGTTCCATGCTATATGACTGGATTTTTCACTCTATTTCTAGTTGAGGCTTTGAAGCTCTAGGCAAAATATTGATTAACTTTGAAGCAATGAGCAACATATTGATAACTTTGAAGCCATAGTATAGAATATAAGTTTGAATAGTCAACTTCCAATATTGGATCTCGATGCACTAAACAATATAACAATGGTTATCCTTTCTTTGCTTCACTACTTCAATGATCAAAGTAAGATCTAAAAATAAACCATTAGATTTCCATACTAAAATGGCAATAGATCTAGAAATCAAATTTGAATTTGTAACCAAATCTGCTATTGACTGAAATTTTAAATTGAGGAAGCCCTCAATGAAACAATTTATAGGTGTATCAAAATATGGTTCGTGTAACTAGTATAGTCTATTTTATTTCATTCTGACCCTTGGCTACAAATTCACTTGCATTTGAAGTATCAAGAAAATCAAGTGAAAATCTATTTCTAGCAGGTCAAATTTATTATGAAAAAGTGAGTGATACTGATTTCATTAGGATCATTTATGATAATTTAATGTATCCCATCAATTTTCCCACAATGTATTACCATTTAATATAACTGCAAACATGAGATCAAGACAAATAAAGATAATATTCTTCAATACATGACAAATATGGAGGAGGCATGCAATGTCGTGGTATGCCAAAGAAAATATGAGAAAAGTCAGTTCTGAGAGTGAAAATGAGTTAATATGCTGGGAGTTAAGATAATAGCTCATAGTTTCCAGAGTACAGCTAAGTCAGAGTTACCCGTGCCAAAGAAGGGAGAGGATAACCTGGCAAAAGGTTGTAAAACGTTACCTTGATTCGTTCATACTCTCTATCTGCACAAATTTTAGCATTCTCAGTAACTCTGATGGCTTCTTTTAACTCTTCAATTTTCCGCAACCTAGACTTGTCTCCACCGAATATTTTGGATGAAGCAACTTCAAGCTTTTCCACCCGCGAATGTAAAGAAGCTAGTTCTGATGAGAGTGTTTGAACAGTCAACAACGCACTTGATCTGTCAGAAAATGCATTGTTGACAGCTAGCATTGTGCCAAGGTATTCATGTAATTTATCCTGCAACATGAAGAAGATAATAGTCACAACAGAAAAGAGTTAGGGATAAGTGTGTCAGGAGATTAAAGCATCTATAATCAAGTTAGTTTCCAGCTTTCCACCATAGATTTTTAAAAAACTAAGAGCTTCTATCATGAGTCACAAGAATATTTGTACTTGCCAAATGTTTGATTGTCTGTGTATTCAGCTCTCTATATAACCTGCTTGCTTTAACAGCCGCAGTTGCCACATTTTTCATGTCAGCAGCTCGTACCCTCTGAGACTCAAATATGGCGTCTTCTGTCTCAAATTTAGTTAGCTTTACAAAAGCCAGCCCTAGTTCACCCACTGTTTCACCCATGTCTTGCTGAAACTTGACTAGAGATTCAGCCTGTAGGTGTCAATGCAGGTAAACAAAATCCAGCTCAGAGATCAAAGAAGAAAAAACAACAATTTTTATTCAGTTCCACAAAACAAAAATGGACATGGTAATTCAATTTGATAAAGGAGCATATTTTAAACAAATCTAAATCCAATAATCACAGAGACACTTGAGAGGAATGTTTTCAATTCGACCAAAGGACAATAAATATTTTAAAGCTATTTCAAGAAGTAATTAAGAGAGCTCTTATTTCCCCAGAGTAAGCTAATCCAAAACATGCATTGCAAGTGTATTTGGAAGTGCTTTTATGGAACATGTTTAAACATATCCTACGTTAAGTGCTTAAGAAGATATTTTCCTATATGGTCATGCTAATAACCTTAAAAGCAACTTAAACCTTCTTATAAACCCTTTAACTTCCTTCAATGATTTCAATACTCACTAAAGCTTATCACTGTAAGCTTATTGAATGAACTTATTGAACAACCACTTAGTCAAGTTCAATGCCCAGATACAACATGAAAAACTAACTAACAAACATGGTAGCCAAAAGCTTATAATTAACTTAAGAAGTACTTAGTTATGCTGACTACCCAAATCCAGTTGGCTAACCTTATATATAATGTACTTATTGAAGAAGCAATTAGTTAAGCTGATTACCCATAATGCACCATAGTCAACTAATAAACATAAAAGCCAAAAACTTAAAATGAACTTAATAAGCTAGTTAAGCTCATCACCCAAATGCAGGTAGTTAATCCTATGATAATGAACTTATGGAATAAGCACCTAGTTATGCTGATTGCCGAAATACTCCATATAAACAACCAAGAAAGCTCATAATGAACCAATACCTACTAATAAAGCACTCAGTTAAACTCATTATCCAAATGCACCACAATGTGAACAAACAACCATTAAAACCAAAAACCAAAGAAACACAAAACCTGCTGAGAAACATTGCTAAGATGGTGCTCAAAGTCCACCAACTTATCCTTCCTCTCGATAAACTCCTTATCCTCCTCCACAACCAAGGGCTTGCTCCCAACCCAATCAATGGTAACAGACTGCTTCAACTCCTTGAAAATCCTGAGTAAGTCCCTCCCGCCCTTAGCCGGTTGAGCCACCTCAGTTACCTCCGCCTCTCCCCCAAACAGCTGCCTCGGTAGCCTCACGGCGCCGTCGAGCATCCGCGATGCGACATCGGTGGTCCTCGCCAGTGGAAGCCGCCCCTTTGCCTCGAGAAACGCTCTCAGCTCCTCGCTTCGCCCGATCACCGGGTGCGCCGCCAGTTTCCTGAGGTACTTCTCCAGCGCCTCGCGCCGCTGCTCCACGAACTCCTGCTTCTGCATC